CAAAAAAAAAAAAAAAAAGAAAAGAAAGGGAAAAAGATAAATTTGACTTCATCAAAATTAAAATTCAAAAAAAAATAATAAAAAAACTCCTGTGCATCAAGGGAAACAAGCAAGAGAGTGAAATCTCCACAAAATTGAAGAAAATATTTGCAAATCATATATTTGATCAGGGGCTTAATTTATTTTTAAAACTCCTATTACTTAACAACAATAATAAAGAAACAATGCACTTAAAAATGTACAAAGGACTTAAATAGACATTTCTCCAAATATGTGAATACAAATGGGCAATAAGCACATGATAACATTACCAATCATTAAGAAAATGCAAATGAAAAGCACCATGATATACCATTTCATGCTCAGTAGGATGTCTATTATTTTTTTAAAAAGGAAATAGTAATTGATGGTAAAGAAGTGAATGCAAGAAATTATAACCTTGTGCCTTACTGGCAGGAATGTAAGACGGTGCAGCCATTGTGGAAAACAGTGTGGTAGTTCCTTAAAAAGCTCAGCATAGGGGCAGCGCCTGTGGCTCAGTGAGTAGGGCGCTGGCTCCATATACCAAGGGTGGCGGTTCAAACCCAGCCCTGGCCAAACTGCAACAAAAAAATAGCTGTGTGTTTTGATGGGCACCTGTAGTCCCAGCTACTGGTGAGGCTGAGGCAAGAGAATCACCTAAGCCCAGGAGTTGGAGGTTGCTATGAGCTATGACGCCACAGCACTCTACCAAGGGCAATAAAGTGAGACTGTCTCTAAAAAAAAAAAACAAACCAGGAACTCAAACATATACTATACTTATACACAAATGTTCACAGCAGTATTATTCATGATGGACAAATGCTAGAAACAACCCAAATGTCCATCAACAGATGAATGAACAAATTGTAGTTATAGCCATAAAATTTAATATTATTCAGCCTTAAAAGGAATTAAATTCTGACATTTGCTACAATGTTGATGGATCTTGAAAACATTATGCTATATGAAATATGACAGCAACAAAAGGACAAATATTATATGATTCTACCTATGTGAGGTACCGAGAATAGGTAAATTCACAGAGACCAAAAGTAGACGAGAGATTTCCAGGCACTCAGGGAGAGGGAAATTGAGCATTATTACTCAATGGGTACAAGATTTCTGTTTGGAACAATGAGAAAATACTTAAAATGGATAGCGGTAATGATTACACAACATTACAACACAGCAAATTTTATGGTTTTTACATTTTATCAGAGTAAAAATATTTTTAAAAAATATTTTTAAAATGTTGATAACAGTTCTAACTATCCAAAAACTTGAAACAATCCAAATATTCTTCAGTGGGTAAATGGATAAACAAAATGTGGCATATCTATATCATTCAATACCACTCAGTAAGAAAACAAAACTATTTACACATGTAACAATACTGATGAACTTCAAAGACATTATTTTGAGTGAAAGAAGCCAGTCTCGAAAGGTACTATACAATTCTATTTATGTGGCATTCTTCAAAGGACAAAACAATAGTGACTAACCCACAAAGCAGTTGTTGCCTGGGTTTAGGAGTGGAAGGAGGGTATGGCTATGGAGGTAGCACCTGGAAGTATTTTGGGAATGGTTCTTTATCCTGACTGTGCTGATGCTTATAAAATCTATCTATCTATATCTATATATATATATATATTTTTTTTGAGACAGAGCCTCAAGCTGTCCTCCTGGGTAGAGTGCTGTGACATCACAGCTCACAGCAACCTCCAACTCCTGGGCTCAAGCGAGTCTCCTGCCTCCGCCTCCCAAGTAGCTGGGACCACAGGCCCACCACAACGCCTGGCTATTTTTTGGTTGCAGCTGTCATTGTTGTTTGGCAGGCCCGGGCTAGATTTGAACCCGCCAGCTCAGGTGTATGTGGCTAGCACCTCAGCCTCTTGAGCCACAGGCGCCAAGCCTAAAATCAATATATATGTTCAACTCCTAGAACTACATACCAAGAGAAAGTCAATTTCACTAAATAATCTAAAAACTTAAAAATAGTATACCATAATAAAAATTAATTTAAAAATACTGTGAAATTTAAGAGTCTAGAATTAATTATACTCTAAAAGCCTTAAAAAACTGTTAAAATTAAAGGGTCAAAAAAAATAAAGCATCAAATCTTATTAATTCACACTACCAAATAGGGTTGCTGTATGGTTGTTGTGCCTACCAAATCAAAGTCATATCTTATTACTGAAGTTAACAAAAACATTAGTGTTTAAACATTTTTATATGGTGGTTCCCTCACAGCTACCTCCAGCTAGTGTTCTGGGCTCTTAATCTACCGTGTCATATTGCCTAGTGCTGCCTTCAGACAGTCATTGATCAGTGATAAGCCCAGGCAAGTAATCAATCCTTAATTGTGTTGTTAATGAAATCCTGGTCTTTCTCAACAACCTCAGAGATCAGAAAGGAACTGCTGGTGTCTGGAATGACTATATACTTGCTTCCACTAGGTTTCAGATTCACTTCCCTTTTCTACTCTCTGGAGACAGAATGCAGCTGTTCAGCATCCTTTACAAGAGTGTTTTTTTCTAGAAGTCTCTCAAGGGCCATTACTAAGTGTGAGAAATATTGGAAAGACTACAGCAGATTTGTGTATGAGTCACTTTCCATCTGTTTATGGTTAAGTGCACTTACAGAAAAATTTTAATCAAATAAAGAGACAAGATGAAGCATTTAATTATTGCTTTACTGGAGATTACCATTTTTAGATTTTCAGTTACCTATTATCCTCACATATAGGAGGGCAGAATTACCTTCTCAAGAGTATATAGCCACAGTGCCTTGAGCATTTTCCTTCTAAAATAGATCTCTTTTGAAAATTTCATAGTTGAAAAAGAAGCACTCTCTGGATGTCCCTACACTTCTAAATTGCAAAATGGGCACAGTCCTGGCTACAGTGCAGCTAAGTGGAACAGGTGCTGAAAGCCCCTTTCCATCATCAAACACCCATGCTCTCAATAGCACCTAAGATAAAGAGAACATAAGGGGCAACGGGGCAGGAGAGAGACATTAGGACTCAAACCATGAATGGCTAATCAAAGTATAGAGGTATCAGGTCTCTATCCACTCAGGTCTACAGAAAGACCCCCAACAGTAGTATCCAGAAACTAAGACACACTTATAGCCTAGGGCACTGTACATGCTCCAAGAGGATTGTTAGTGATTCATCCTTTGTCAGGGCAGGGCTACCAGGGGTTTTGGTGAATGGAAGGATGCAATATGTGACTTTTCATAGCCTAGATGCTGAATGCCCAGAGAACTACTAATCTATTGGGGTCAAACAGGACATCATAACCTTGGTGAAAAGAATTTCTGGCATTTCCATTTTCCTGTTTTACATGTCTCAGCCCTGGGTTCTCTTAAAATACTGTGGTCCTAAAATGACATGAGGCTTTGAATATGACAGGAAAGAAAACAGCTTCAAATTGATTTGTTCCCAGTCTAGAAAAGCATGTGACCTAGTTTTACAATCAAGTGATCACTTTAAGATTACACAGGACTTTCTCATGGATGTGTTTCCTTTACATGTATAATGAACTCACAAGAATATAGATCGCGGTGGACAATAAGAAAAGTGTGAAAAATATAGGTTACCATTTGGATGTAGCTTTCTCTCTCTTCTCTGGAAACAGGATTGGCAAAAAATCTTGAAGAATTAATACCATTTCTTTCTGGAGAGATAAAGCTGGTTCGATTGCTAAGGAAAAAAATATAGACAAGGTCAAAGCAATGCCTTACAGCTGCTCTGAAACCCAACCAGGAACTGACATGGCTCCCATGGGGTTTCCACCCTCCCTTTCCAGACACAACTTCCTCTGGCCAAGGCAATTCCTAAAGAAACAGAGGCTGCCCAGCATTTTCTGTCCCACTATGGAACAATTGGTTGCTTTTTTCTAGGCCCTATATGAGACACAGCTCCTGAGCTTTCCAAAAATAGACCAAGACATCATATAATTTAGCAAAATATAAAAATGCTCCTCTGGGGCCCTCTTGTTTCCAATCAAAGTAACCAGAAAAAGTAAGGAAGTAAGCCCATTCCACTGATAAGAAGACTACATGCTGACTTCAATCCTACTCCTGAGTCAGAAGCACAGGCTGAATTTCTCTGCAGTCTTAGCTGAAAATACAGCTCACTGCAGAATTCTGAATTCTGCTTTACAAAGTGATTATGTCCTGTAGCATTAGAGTGAACCAAGAAATTCCTGGGCTCAGGACGCTGAAAATGCAGCTTCTGAAAGGTGAGATAAGAGAGTACAAGTACATTTTGAGGTTTGTGTATCCAGGCTGTGAACCACCACATCCCTCCTTCTCTAAGAACTCCCTTTTCCTACCCCACTCTACAAAGACAAAGAATGGGGAAGACATAAACAGATGTGCTGGGTTCCCAACAACACTCTGGTTTGTGGTTCCAGTATCCTGGGAGACCCAGATATATTCTTTCCTTTGTGATCTGTAAAACACCTCTGGTCTTGATAATAAACTTCACCCCTCCTTTGGCTTAAGCTAGATAGAATGGGCTTCAACTACATGTAATTAAAGAGACTTACCTAACACTGGGGGTGTCTGTGCTGCATGATGTGCCTCGGAGCAATCAGAAACTTACCAAGGTACAGTGTGAGTCCTGGTTAGAGATGCGTGTTCCCGAATGGTGGAGAGGTTTCTCAGGTCCAGAGGAGGTGGCCGTTCTATAAGACAGTATACAATATCTAGTATAGATAGTTCCTAGGAGTTCAAAGCCAGAATCTAAAGACAATAAACTATGACCTGCTACTTTCCTTTCAAATTTACTAACAGGCAACACTGATTGAGTCTGAATTTCACCATCCTCCTCTTTCCTGCCTCACTGAGAGTAAAGACAACTACCAAGCAAATGGTCACACACCTGCTGGAGGTCACCATTTGGAGGTATATTTAGTCAATACACACTTACTGAGGACACACAGTACATGCAGTTATAGGTGTTGGAGGTACAGTATGAATAAAATGGACAAAAGTGTTGAACCTTTTAGAATCTCACTTTCCTCACACTTGGTATATCTAAAATAGAAATTTTGCCCTTCGTACCATATGCAGAGACGATCACCCAGGTTCCAGTCTTCCCCACCTCCAACTCATTGTTCACCCAATGGTCCTTCTGCCCAGAACAGTGGTTCTCAACCTTCCTGATGTTGTGATGTATTTTCATTGTTACAAAGGGGTCGAGACCCACAGGTTGAGAACCACTGGCCTAGAATTTTCTTCTTCTGCCTAGTTACTCATATTGAAATCTCAGCTCACCCTCCCCTGCTTAGGAAGGTGTTCTTTGACCTCCCAACAAGATCAGGCTCCATATCATGAGCTCTCATGGATTTGTGTACTTACCCTTCACAGCACCTCCCCCACTTTAATTACTTGATTCAGGTCTGGACTGTCCTCTAGGAAGACAAGGGTTTATCTGATGTGTTCACTGTAGTAGCCTCAGCACATAGAGGAGCATGTGGCATCTGTTCTGACCCTTATGCCATCACAGTGGCCCAACTTGCATGTCTTCATTCATCACTGCCTTTACCTCTTTTCTCCACTAGACTACATGCATAGAGATTTGTTCTTTTCTTTTTTATTTTTCTTGAGACAGAGTCTCATTATGTGGCCCTGGGTAGAGTGCCATGGTGTCACAGTTCACAGCAACCTCAAACTCTTGAGCTTAAGTGATTCTCTTGCCTCAACCTCCCAAGTATCTGGGACTATAGGTGCCTGCCACAATGCCCGGCTATTTTGTTGTTGTTGCAGTTGTCATTGTTGTTTAGCTGGCCTGGGCTGGTTCAAACTCACCAGCCATGGTGTATGTGGCTGGTGCCATAACCACATACATAGAGATTTCTAATTCTCCACCATGTCATCAGAGCCTAGGCTGCCCAATTACTTTCCCAGGAGTCTTGGACCTGGCAAATGGCTGGGATAGAAAGGGCACATGTGTGATGAAGTCCCTATGATGAAGGTTCACTCACTAGCCACTGCCCAATTTCAGCACCTGGCTTCTCCCTCCTGAGCTCTTGTGCTCATTCTTGAACCCATCCCTCCTGGTCTGAGCATACACCCTTGAATCCAGCCACTAAATTTCCAACCCTGAGTTCACCAAACATCTTCTATATCCCTATCTCTAGACCATATAGAGCCGCAATGTCCAATATAGTGACCACCAGCAACATGTGGCTATTTATACATATATGTAAATTTATTAAAATGAAATAAAATTTAAAATTCAGTTTTTCACTGTGCATGGTGGCTCATGCCTGTAATCCTACCACTCTGGGAAGTCAAGGTCGGTCAATTGCCTGAGCTCACAGGTTCAAGACCAGCCTGAAAAAGAGCAAGACCCTCTCTAAAAATAGCCTGGCATTGTGGTGGACACCATTAGTCCCAGTACTTTAGAGGCTGAAGAAAGAGAATTGCTTGAGCCCAAGAGTTTGAGGTTGCTGTGAGCTATGACTCTAGGGCACTCTACTGAGGACGACAAAGCAAGACTCTGTCTCAGAAAAAAAAAAAAAAAACTCAGTTTTTCGGTTTCACTAGTCACATTTTAAGAAACTTCTGTTGGATGGAACTACTATAGGAAATTAACTGAAACATTAATATGTATCTCAAATTTATTGTTCCCTATGAAATTATTTCTGACCAGAATGAATGGTTATTTCCTCAGAAACTCATAAGACAGGTCTTTTCTCCTATTCAGTACTGCCATCATAATTCTACTTTTCCATCTAGCAGGTTTCTACACAGCTTCCTCCCCTCAGACTGAAGAAGCCTCCTTGCTTCTTTATCTTTGCATCCCATCCACTACAAACACAGTGTAAATGTGCAAATGTGGTTTGACACAAGTTGCAGGGGTGTGACTGGAATGGACCAGGCATGAGCAGAGGGCTTAGGTAGCAGCTTCAGTCCACTGGAGGTGGAAGTTTCTTCCAAAGGGATAAAAGAGGTTGAAATGAACCAGTTGAAGTGTCAGAGATCACAGTCATTATACCAAATGCTTCCTAATAATCACACAGCCAACCAGGCAGGTGAGGGTAGGTAAGAATGAAACTAAGAGGTCACTTTGACCTGCTTTTCCTTCTTCTCTATTCTCTTACCTCCTTGTCTTCTCAGGCTACTTAGCACACCAGAGAAGCAGCCTGACAATAACACAGAGGCTGAACTCAGGTGGAAGACTGCTTATTGCTGAAGTTCTCTCCTACCTCTGACAACTCCGCTGATGGGCATACACAGAGCCATGAATGATAAATTGTATATGATCAAGTTTGACCTTCAAGGATTGGTGTCAAAAATCCATTCTGGCCTGCCTTATGGAAGGCCAACACTGTATATCCAAGTGCTGTCTAAATGAGGAGACACCAGGTGATTCCATTCCAATCCATTATTACTTATTACTGGGCCTTCGTTAGATAAGCAATCAAAGATAAGCACTCTAGAGTGAACTTGGCTTTGTAGGCTGTTTTTGTAGAACCACAGAGCCTATAAGTTCTCTAACTACTTTATCATGACAGTCTGGGGCAGCAAAGTGCCCTAACCATTCCCATTCTACCCCAGTCACGTCTTTCTTGTCATACTTTCTAGCCCTTTGGGATGGTTTCTCCAGATCCTCCTTCCCAGAGAGGTTCAACAAGGAAACCTTTGCAGGTTTCCTATGCAGACACTAGGCCTTTGCTCCCCTCCTCTGTACAGCAGGCCTGGTCAAGTGCCTTACGTTTCCTCTGAGGCTTGAGATCTCTATTCACTGGAGGAGGCTCCAGGTCTGCAGGCAGTTCAGGTAGAAGGCTTGTGATGTTTCCTGAGCTCATCGGGATGTAGTCATCAGAGCTGCAATGGGATCCAATATCAGAGGCAGTGGCCTGGGGGCTCATGGGCATGTAGCTGTCTTTGGCACTGGCTGAAGCTGTGGAGTACATTAGGGAGAACCTGCATGGCTGCAAGAGAAGAGGTAAAGGTTGGGAACCACAGACCAGTCATGAAAACTGCTACCAGCAGCCAGCCAACACTTCAGATATGGTTTCAGTTCCAAATTATCCAAGAATAACTCTGCATTTCTTCAGGAAAGTTGGATTAGTATCTAGCTCAAATTCTGCCTCTGGAGCAATTGTGTGTATACAGGCACTGACTCTCCTAGATCTGATGCTGGAAAATAGAAAGTTATGAGTTTATACAAATCCTTTAAGCAAAATGTGAGACCTTAAGTAGAGACTCTAAGCTAAGCTACCATTAGAATTGACAAGGCTTTTATAGAATACTAGGTCCAATAGTCCCCACTAAAAAAATTCAAGTGTTAAGGGAGACTACAAGAATCCTCCGAGATGCAGAGTGCTGAGTCTCAAAAGACTTAAAGGGATCACATAGAGGTCAGGATATTTTTCATAAAATAGAGGCTTAAAGGAACCCAAGGGTCAAACTTACCAAATTTAAACTAAGCCTCTTGTCTCGGTGTCTTAAAGATTGGCCTTCTACATCAGCTGTAAGAAATAAGCCAAGGTGGTGAGAAATGCAGGGCAATACCAGTTGAAACTAGGACCCAAGCTCCTATGTACATGTATCCCAAGGCCCTGTGCTTAGAACCGCAGAGGCAAAGAAATATACCATATAGTTTCAATAAGTAAGTCTAGCTGGGTAGTCAGAATACATTGCCCCAATACATGGAAAAATCAGACCACATTTTGAAGCAATTTCTATCTGATGGCTTCAGTTTTCACTGTGAATTAAGAACAGATATAGCAAGTAATTAACAGGTGCTTATTGCATTTATCACATAAACCTTCTGACCTTAGAGATAGTAAAGGCAGAGCTGGAGGTTTGAGAAGATGAGAGTTTGAAATATCCATTGTGATGAGTGAGAGAACAGGGTGAGTAGAGAAACAATTACATTGTGTAGTGGCATTGAATAGCCATTTGAGCTCTGTGACCATGAATTGGTGACTGTGATTTTCTATAGCAGTAGTCAGCCACTCAGTTACACATATGGGCAGAAAGGACAGTTGGATTAATTCAGGAATAGAGACTTGTGAGGAGGATGTGACAAATAGTATGACATAAAAATTTAGAATAACTTTAGAATTAAAAAAAGAGATGCCCAGGAGGCAGCAAGATATATGAACCTGGACTCAAATGAGATATAATTTGGGGAAATTAGAAGTTTAGAAATAGTATTCAAAACCATAAGAGCAGATGAGACTATCTAGGTTGAAAGTGCTAACATTAAGTATAAAACACTACAGAATCTCAAGATTCAAAGAGCAGAAAGAAGAGTCAGTAAAATGTCTTGAGAAAGAGCTACCATAGAGTAAGGAAGAAAGTTGAGGGGCACAGTGTCACAGCAGCCTAAAGAAGAAAAGAATGGCCAGTAGTGTTGAGTGCTGCAGAGAAGTATAGCAAGTACCCTCAGCACACAGGGGCCACAGCAAAGTAGTCCCTAAGAAATTGGAGATTATGTTAGGTGACCTCTGAGAAATAAACTGAAAGGTCAACATCATCTTAAAGTGCTAGGATAACTCCCAGCTCAGAAAGATGTGATGGAGACTGATGCTATTAAGAATTTTTTAATTTTTTTATATTTATTTAGTTTTTTAAATTAAATCATAAACACATAGATCATATATACATTAGTGAATTTATGGGGTACAATGTGCTGATTTCATATAGACTTAGGAACACTAAATAATATTTATTTTATATACAAAGTCTGACAATTAGGTTCATAAACTCATCCTAGAAAAAGTGCTACAAACTTCATTGCTACATATCACTGTGGTCACCTTCAAAATACTCCCCTTGGGAAGCTATGCAGTGATGATATCAAGCACCTAATCCACCCTTCAAAGCAATTTTGGAACTCAAATTAATCAACAATCAACAAAAAAGACAAAATAATTGTATATATCACTGGGCAAGAGAGATGAATAGAATCTTCTCTAAAGAAGACAGATGAATGGCTAACAAACATGAAAAATGCTCATCGTCCCTAATTATCAGAGAAATGCAAATCAAAACTCACCTGAGATATCACCTAACTCCAGTAAGAATGGCTCACTTTTGGGAGCCAACCTCCTGGGAGGAAAGCCTGCCTAGTTTGAGGAAATGTATTCAAGTGAAGGACCAAGTGCAAACCTGGCCTCAGAAGTTTTCCTGCTACGGCTGGTTCCTGAACCAGATTAGATTGGAGCCATGCCCCTTTGATCACAATAGACTGCTGAGGATGCTATTTTGCCCCTAGGCTGTTTTTAATCAAGTTATGCAACTATGACAAGATTATGCCTTCAAGCTACTGTATATAAAAGCTGTGCAATAAAGCTAAGATTGCTGTTCCTATTGAGGAAAGCCCTCCTGATCCTGCTGTTTTTCATCTATCCTTTTCCATACTGCATCATCTACTCCCAGGGTCCCTAATAACCTTTGCCAGGCAGGTTAGCAGCAGCCCATATCACAAAGTCTCAAAACTGCAGATGCTGGTATGAATGTAGAGAGAAGAGAACACTTTTATATTGCTGGTGGGACTGCAAACTAATACAACCTTTTTGGAAAGAAGTATGGAGAATCCTCAAAGAACTCAAATTAGACCACCCAATTTAATTCTGCAGTCCCATTACTAGGCATCCACCCAGAAGGAAAAAAAATCCTTTTATCATAAGGATTTGCTGTGAGCTGTGATGCCATAGCACTCTACCCAGAGCGACAGCTTGAGACTCTATCTCAAAAAATAAAAAAAATAAATAAAAACTTATGTCTACACAGGACCTGCACATGGAGGTTTATGGCAGCTTTATGCATAATTGCCAAAACTTAGAAGCAATCAAGATGTCCTTCAGTAGGTGAATGGATAAACTATGGTACATTCAGACAATGGAATATTATTCAGCATTAAAAAAGAAATGAGCTGTCAAGGCATGAAAAGACATAGAGGAAACTTACGTGCATGTTACTAAGTGAAAAAGCCAATCGTAAAAAGCTAAAATGGTATGATTCCAAATACATGACATCTAGAAACTATGAAAAACATATTAGAAAATTAGGTAAAATGAATAAATTTCTAAAAAGTATAACTTACAAAAAGATTGTAATAATAACTGAAAAATCCAAATCATCTTATCAACTCAAAAAATTAAATTTTAATATAAAAATCTTTCCGCATAACCAGCCCACTGATGCCACTGGTAGAAATCCAGAAGCTGCCTGGAGGTACAAGGACTGATCCACCCAGACTTGCCACCACTGGAACCTACATATAACACCTGGGAGACTCAGAACTGGTATTTCTGGCCTGATGCTACCACCACTGATACCCAAGAAGTATCACTCTAGCATCCCTGTTCACAGTAAAGCCTTGACATAGCCCCCACTAACAACTATAGTCTGAGCCTGTGAGGAATTGCAGAGAAACACAATAATTCTCCAGTAACAAATATCAACAAAAAAGAAATCTATGAAATCCCCTATGATCTAGTCAAAGTGCTGGGGGGGAGATGTGTTAGCCAAGAATACTAAATCCAGCAAAGATAGCTTCTTTAAATTAAACAGAGAGAAAGAAAGTCTATCCCAGGCAAGCAAAACCAAGCAAATTCATAACAATTATACCAGCCCTACAAGAATAATAAAAAATCAATAAAAGGGGTGGTGTCTGTGGCTCAAAAGGGTAGAGTACCAGCCCCATATGCCAGAGGTGGCAGGTTCAAATCCAGCCCCAGCCAAAAAAAAAAAAAGAAAAGAAAAATAAAGGAAAAAATAGTATACAAAATAATCATAAAACAGCAAAGTAGAAGTCTTCACCTATCAATAAGTATCTTGAATATAAATTGTTTAAGTCCCCCAATTAGAAGATATTTACTGGTTGAATGGGAATAAAAAATAAGATACAAGTATATGCTGCCTATAAGAAACTCACTTTACTTGTAAAGACCTGTAGACTAAAAGTAAAGGGATAGAAAAAGATATTCCATGCAAACAAAAACCAAGACTAAACAGGTGTAGCTATCTTTATATCAGACAAAATAGACTTTAAGTAAAAAAAAAATAAATAAAAGAGAAAGAAATGTCATTACATAATGATAAAGGGATTAATTCAAGAAAAGCATATAAAAATTCTAAATAAATATGTACCCAATATTGGAACAACCAGATATGCAAAGCAAATATGGAGGAAAGGGAGATAAACCCTAATAATATTTGGGGATGCCAATACCCCGTATTCAGGATTGGACAAATCAACTAGACAGAAAATCAACAAAGATACATCAGACTTAATCTACCCTATAGGCTTGGCAGCCATAGCTCAGTGGTTAGGGCACCAGCCATATACACTGGGGCTGGCAGGTTCAAACTCGGCTCAGGCCTGCTAAACAACAATGACAACAACAACAACAACAACAAAATAGCCGAGCATTATGGCAGGCACCTGTAGTCCCAGCTATTTGAGAGACTGAGGCAAGAGAATCACTTAAGCCCAAGAGTTTGAGGTTGCTATGAGCTGATGCCACAGCATTCTACTGAGGGAGACATAGTAAGGCTGTCTCAAAAAAAAAAAAAAAATCTAGGCTATAGATCAAGTGGTCCTAATAGACACTTACAGAACATTTCAACCAACAGCTTCAGAATATACATTCTTCTCTCTTCATCACATGGAACATTCTCCAGGAAAGATCATATGTTAGGCCACAAAATAAGTCTCAACAAATTTATAGAAATTGAAATCATTTGGACTGTCTTCTCAGATTACAATGGAATAATAAATAACAAGAAACTTTGGAAACTGAACAAATACATGGAAAGTAAACAACATGGTCCTGAATAGCCAATGGGTCAATAAAGAAATTATAAAGGAAATAGAAAAAATTCTTAAAATAATTGAAAATGAAAACAAAACATACCAAAAGCTAGGGGACACAAAAAAAATTGCTTCTAATAAGGAAACTCATAACAGTAAATACCTACATCAGAAAAGTAGAAAGATTTCCAATAAATAGCCTAATAATACAGAATAAGGAACTAGAAAAGCTGGAACAAAAGCAAACACATGAATAGTAGAAGAAAGGAAATAATAAAGACCAGAACAGTACTAAATGAAATAGAGGCTCAGTGCCTGTTGCTCAGTGGTTAGGGCACCAGCCACATACACCAGGGCTGGTGGATTCAAACCTGGCCTGGGCCTGCTAAAAAAAAAAAAAAAAAAAAAAAAATGTTGACAACAACAACAACAACAACAAAATAGCCAGGTATTGCGGTAGGTGCCTGTAGTCCCACCTACTTGGGAGGCTGAGGCAAGAGAATCGCTTAAGCCCAAGAGTTTGAGGTTGCTATGAACTGTGACACTACAGCATGCTACTAAGGACAATATAATGAAACTGTCTCAAAAAATAAAATAAATGAAACGAAGTGAAATAGAGACTAAAAAAATACAAAAGATCAACAAAAATAAAAGTTGAGGTTTTTTAAAAAATAAACAAAATTGATAAGCTGCTAGCTAAAA